TTTTAAGGAAAGTAAAGACAGAGAGTATGATAGAATACAGTTATAAAAAAAAAGTCAGGTCAGTTAAACAAGGATTGAAAAATCTGAGAGGAATTGAAGCGAGGATCAACGGACTTGGAGCGGGATCCGGTAAAACGAAAGACTGATGCTTCCAAGAAGTGGTGGGCAAAAAGACTGACGGTGAATATTTTTTAAATAACTCTTACACGTCAAAATTTAATTTGTTCTCAAATCCAAAATGTTATATGAGCGAATTTATAACTAGTACCAACTGCAAAATAATTTTAAATACAGTAAAATCGATCCTGAACTTGAGGAGTTGGATTGTATGTTTGAATGTGTCATGGCACCGGACAACAATGCATGTGCCTCCACTGAGGCGAGGTTTGGTGGCATCCCCAGAAATTTGGGAGCTGATCAAACGGGTGATTCCAATGAAGGTCCCAGCCCGGACCTTCATGAAGTTGAGTCCACGAGCCAGTCAAAGCATCACCGGGTTGAAAGAAAAACCAAAAGAGGGAGTTGTTTTTCTTAGAAGTCAGATCTCACAGTTGGTGGCTTCATGCACCAATGACCCTGACCCATCACAAGCAACTTCTGTCCAGCAGGTTACATGAATTATGGATGCAACTCTAGAAATTAACGAGGACATGTCATTGCATTTGTTCTTTATGAAGTTGCTTGAAGATTCAATTCTGAGAGAGTTTTTCATAACGATGTCCGCTGACTTTAGGGTGGCTTACCTAAGTTATGGGAGCTGTGACATTTAAGGGACACTTTATTTTTTAATGGATTCTTGTGGAAAATTTCTATTTGTTTATGGTTTTTCATGATGCTTAAGATATTTATACTCCTTTGGATATGTCACTTTACTTGAGAGTTTCATTTGTCGTTAATGTTTTATATTTACTTCTTTAATGATATTTTCTTATGTTAGTTTTATTAGTAACCTTATATGATTGTAGTCAATTCATTGATGCTTATGTGTTAGTCATTTGGATACTGAAATACATGAATGCAACTAGAAAAAGGAGTAGAAGAAAAGTTGCATCTGCAGTATACTTGATGTACGAATATTATAACTTGTACAAAAAACTAAATTAAGTGTTCTCGAGATGAAAATGATTAGCTGGATGAGTGGTTATACACCTAGAGACAAAATGCGAAATGAATATATTCGTGATAGGGTTGGTGTAGCTCCAATGATGAACAAGACTAGAGAGAGTCGTCTTAGATTGTTTGGCCACATTAAACGTCGACCACCTGATAATTCATATAGAAGAGTAGATGTTTTAGATTCAACTTATGTTAAGAAAGACAGAGATAGACCTAAAATGACTTAGGCATATTGTATAAAAAATGATTTAATTTATTAGAATTAAATGAAAAAATGACACTAAATAGGACATAATGGAGAAAAATGATTCATGTAGCTGACCCAACTTAGTGGGATAAAGGTTCTGTTGTTGTTATCGTTGTTGAGCCTAGAGTGCTTTTCTTGCAAGAAATTTGCATATATTGGCGACAAATGGGTTGAGAAGTTGTTTGCAGACCACCCAATGAGATTTACCAATATGTTCCTCATGACACATGCGATATTCACCGATCTGTTGGAGAAACTACAAAGAAATCATGGACTTCATGGCTCATCTAAAATGACTTCACAATAGATGTTAGCAATAACCCTCTACATATTATCGCAGAATGAATCAATGTGAGGAGCTATGAAGCGATCTCAACATTCTTCTGAAACGATTTGCAGATATTTCTCAGTAGAGTTGAATGCACTTGTCACTTTTTCTTAACAAGTCATAAAGCCAACAGATCCTACATTTGTATGAACCTCCACAGATATTTCACACAATGAACGTTATGTCATGCTTTAAGATAATTTATCCAATTTATTGCATTCAACTTTCATAAAAATATCGTAATTACGTAATGTTTTGTTATCTTTCTAAAATTGTATCGGAGCAATCGATGAAACATACATTGATGCAAGTATTGCAAATAATGAAAAAATTGCATTTTTCGATCGATGTGGGTCCATGATGCAGAATGTCATGGCGGCACTTTTGTCACAACCGGTTGAAAAGACTGCACATGACAGTCGAATATTCAAATCTGCAACACAGAATAACAAATACAATTTCCCACACCACCCACAAATTTGCTTGAGACTAAGCAATCCTCCTAATTCTTTTTTCCTTCAATACTATTCACTCAATTCACATCAGGTAAATATTATTTGGCTGATGTTAGGTATCCGTTGCAACGAGGGTATCTCACACCTTATCCTGATACGAGATACCATATACCTGATTTTGAGCGAGTCAGCAATGTCATGCGAGGCAGAAAAGAAATGTTCAACAAAAGGCATTCATCCTTACGCGGTGTTAAAGAAAAGTTCGTTGCAACGAGGGTATCTCAGGCTCTATCCCGATACGAGATACCACATACCTCATTTTGAGCGAGTCAGTAATGTCACGCGGGGCAGAAAAGAAATGTTCAACAAAAAGCATTCATCCTTAAGTGGTGTTATTGAGAGGATTTTTAATGTTTGGAAGAAGAAATCGGTTATACTTCGCGATGTCATCTTACCTGTTTTTCAAACAAGTGCAGATTGTGATTGTCACGATGGCTCTTCAGAATTATATTCGGCGGCATCATTCCAGAAACAACATCGATTTCTATAGAACAGACGAGGATTGTGAACATGTCCCTGACGAGGCATATGAGTACCGTCTAAGGCAGTCTTTATCACAGGCTGAAAATAATGTTCTCAATACCTGCAATAAAGACGGGGAAGGTGCAAGCGAGATGACTGAGTTGAGGGAACAAATTATGGATGCGATAGTTGGAGGATGATTGAAGTGAATGTTAGTTTTTATCATATTATTAATTGTAATGATTATTGAAAGCATTCATTGTTTATTGTATCAGTATTTTATACAATCCATGTTTATTTTTGTTCCTTATGCATTTGATATTCACTGTTTTGGTTTTTTACGCAATTTGTATGTGTACTTTTCATTTTGCATTTAGGTTTTAGGGTTTAATGTGGGTTCTTCTGGATGGATTTTGAGGGGTGTGATGAGACGTTTGAGCTTATGGGATCTAATAGATGGTATGTATGTTATAGATTGATGTCACATGTGAAATTCTAATGAAGGCAATCAAGCTTCTCATTTTTTTCAGTGCTACGGTTTTTGAGGTTCTTATTTATGATTTTTTTTTGTGATATGCATATGTAACACACTAGATTTTGGTATCCTGTGGGTTAAAGGCAATCAAAAACCTTCTTTTTTATTAGTTTTGTTGTCTTCTTGCAGTGATAGATTCATTGGTTGATATACGGAGTTCTCTAATACCTCAGAGCTGCATAAAACAATAATTAATTACTTTTGTTATCAATTTTTGCTTGTGTTATTTTTAAGTGTATGTTTTTTTAAGTATTCAGAAAAGATGAGCTCGAGGATTTTTGGTAGCTCTAGAGGAATGCACTATTATTGTGGACTTCAAAGCTCTCTGTTAACTTCACGTCAGCAACATAACTATAGGAGATAGTTTTACAGGTACCCACGAATAAGGCTGTCAAAACAGTTTGTTTTTTGTGAATAGTCCGTGTTTGGCTTATTAAGTAGCTCGTGTTCGATTCGTTCGCTAAGCAAACGAGTCAAACACGAACAAAGTTTTGTTATTCGTGTTCGGCTCATTTTGGCTTGAAATAATTATATATATAAATATGTATATATATGTATGTGTGTGTGTGTGTGTGTGACTAAAGGCTACAAAGATTTATAATTATATATAATTGACTACAAGGCTATAAAGGCTTATAATCAATTAAAATTAATAATTAAAATGGAAGAAAAATATATTAAATTTTATTTAAAAGAATATTTTAATATAAATTATAAGGATTTAAATGTTACCCTATCCTTAACATCTTATGTCCATATGACTAGGGTTGTCAAAATGGCTCATTGTTCGTGAACAGCTCGTGTTCGGTTCGATAAGCAAACAAGTCAAACACGAACAAATTTTTTCAGCTCAATATATAAACGAGTCGAACACGAACAATAATATTTCTTAACAAACTGAGTCTGAACTCCCTCAAGTTTGACTCGTTTACACCCCTGATGGTTGCATGCGTAAATAAGGATATCAAAATAGCTCTTTGTTCATGAACAACTCGTGTTCGTCTAGCTAAGAAAAAGAGCCGAACACGAACAATTTTTTTTGTTCGGAATATAAATGAGTCGAACACGAACAGTGGCATTTTTTAACGAGCCGAAAATGAGTTGAGCCTAGGCTCGCTCTTGTTCACCTCGTTTACACCCCTACCCACGGAGAATCACGAAAAACTGTGACTATTTTCGATGGACAGATAGGCTGAAAGATTCTACCGCCGAGAGTGATCAGACATGGAAAGTATCCCTGAAGTACAACTTAGCTTGTGTCATATGTCATCTGCATTTTAAAAAAAATATTATCATATTATTAATTACTGTTTTAATAGTTTTTTATTTAATTTTAGTAGTCATGTTAATTACTGTTAAGTGGGGTGTCTACCTCTATTTCGTAACGTTATGCACTGCATATGTATTTTTAAAGTATAGAATGTACTGGTAATAAATGTTTGTGTTGCAAGCAGCATTACTATACAAGGACAGAATGATCATTTATCTAGCAACAGCTGCAATACAACTGTTTTCGAATTGTAAAAAACAAACAGATAATCAGCTTATCCGCAACAGCTTTCTTTGTCAACTGCTACGCAACAGCTTATTATTAAGCTGCAACTGCCCCAAACAGACCTTAAGAAACTTATTCCTTCACATATAGAAACCAAGCGAGCAAGCTTCCATAGCATAGATTCAATTTTCACAAGTACACATAAACAAATACAAAAATTCATAAGGAGAACTTTAATGAGAATTGCACAAGCAAAAATGACACGCTTTCCAACTCAAAAAAAAGGAAAGATAAACCAATACCTGCCATGGCCTTTCCCAGTCAAGTGGCATTGGCCAAGCACCAATCCATGCACCTATAACACTTCCATATGCGGGTAGGGAAACCAAAGCATCAAGAGATTCTTCTGGTCTAAGAAAAAAAATTTTTATTTCAAATCTATTAATACTAACCAACAAAAAAATTAGCATTTCAATTTACGAAAGTGCTCAAATGATTCAAAAAAAAAAGTTATGTTTGAACAAAAGAATTCACAAAAGTTAAAATACGCATCATCAACATGAGATTTGTTTGGCTGAACTAAAAATAGATAAAAGGAGCATTAAAACAATTTGTAATTAGTTCAAGAATTTGCAACCATTTGTAGTGGAGAAATGGGAATATTTAGATGGATAAATGGTCAAACTAGAAAGAATGAGGAAATGGTTTTGTTAGAGAGACCATAAGAGCCGCACCTATAAAAGTTGGTATAATGAAAAAACTTAGATTGTTTGGGTATGTGCAAAAAATGGTATTTTTTGCACTAACAAGGGGTGATCAAAATAGGGTGAAATAGTCAATAAGAAAAAAGTAAACCAAAGTTATCATAGAGAAACGTAGATCGAAAAATTTTAGCAAGAGAGATTTGAAACACATGTAAAGTTAAAAAGGAATGAATGAAATAAGAATTCATAAAGGCCAACCACAAAAATGATGATGGTTGACACTTCAAATTCCTTTTCATTTTCTTTGTATTTGCATTCCTAGAAGTCATGCAGGACAATAATAACTAATGGGCCATTAATCATGCAAGAACGAACCCATGTATCAAAATAAACAGTAGCATAACAAATAATACACCAAGAGAAAACTTACTTAAAATGTGCTAAAATACGATGCCAATCCGCACTTGATGAGCCAAAGGTGCATGTCAGAGGAACAAACTATCACATGAGAAGGTTAGACAACATTTTTGTGCATGAAACTACAAGCATGACTTGTAACATTAAACAATTATGAGCCCCCGCACCCCCTTCGTTCCCTACTTTCCCTATCTCCAAACCCATTTCTGTAAAGCAACGGCGGTTACACTCACAAATTCAACACATTTTCTTATGTTTACTGTTATCCAGGAGTAAAGAAGAAAGTTATGGGCCACCATTAAATTTTTTTATATCAAATGCCATGAAAAAATGTTGAAATTTTGTTAATTTCACGGGTACAAAAATCATTCTTCTTTTTTTGTTTCCTGTCGTCAACAAAAAATCAACATGAAATAAAAGAAATAGAAACTCACCGTGAATAGAGACATCAAAAGAGACCAATAGACTGTTCTAGTCAAGTATCTGCATCAAATGCAAATATGAAATACGTAAGATACAGTGAGTATGTGTAATGAAAAAAAGGATACTGTCCAAAATTCAAGGAAACAAATAATATGACCACATAATGGGAATTCTTAATTTTAAAGCCGCAAAGAAGTGTGTGTGTGTGTGTGTGTGGGTGGGTGTGTGGGGGGGTGTTCAAAGAGTAATGTTCAACGTATTAGTCACAGAAAATTGACCTACCGAATCCCTACTGGTGCACCTAAAACAATTGCTCCAAATGCCATTACCAGAGCCCCTGACAAGAAAAGGGGTAAAGCAACTCGCGATAGAAAAAACAATTGAACTGAATATGTAGAAAATGAGATCTTTAACAGCAAATCAAACATAAAACCCATGGAGAACTCACCTATGGGGAACCCCAACAGTCCACGCACTACTGCCCTAAAATACTGCCAAAACCCTACAATTACTTCAATAAGAAGTTAGATAAAGCAAAATAACATATAGGTTGTGAGCAATTACCGAACAGTGTTGCCGATCTCGCCGGACCAAGCTGTACATGCCGATCATGATTGTTCCATGAACAATCTGCATCATAATTGAAAATGATTTTAAACTGACAAAGATTATGGATTGGAGTTGGGGTTTCGAGAAGTTAATAACAATAATAACAATGAATGTACCAGAAGAGATGGATTATTCCTTTTTTACCAGGTAAAGGCCTAGGATTTCAGAGGTGTGAGTGACGAGACTCCAAGAGTAGAAATACTGCGCTAGCCAGTGCACGACTAACAGGCTCAGGCTGCAAAGGAAAGGTAGTGCTGCGGCCTTGGGTGCAGTGATCTCACCGGCAACCATCATTGGCTTGAATTGTGCAGTGGCAGTGAAGAGTTCAGATTAGACAATCGTCATACTAGAATTTTTACACTGAAACAAAGAAGCTTTTTATAGGCTAATTTAAAAAAAAAAAGAGCATTTTATAAAAAAAAAAGTATCTTTCATCGACAAAAAATAAATAAATTTAAAATTTAACAAAATTGCCACATGGAATGGCGATTTTGCCACATGGCAATTTTTTTGAGAAAAAAATTTAAAAAAAATTCAAACCCAAGCAGTCTTTTAACATAGATAAGAACAGACAAAAATATGGAAGAAAGATTGCAATAAACACAGGAATAGGAAAATTTTGAAATAGAAATCACTATAAGAAAATAAATGCAATTTTTATATGCAAGAAGCTATGAATATTTATATTAAAAGAGCTTCCTGGAGAAAACTTTTCTTACTACAAAGCAACATAGAAAATCATTATTTTTGGGGGCATTTACAAGCATACCACCGAATTCCTATGTAATTGCATATCAAACAACTAAATTTTGCCTATTCTCTTTTTTTTCCCACACAAATCAAAATGGTGGTGTGACTTACTGCTTATTGCAGCATTCTTATGGAAAAAAGTCATGAAATCATATCAATTGTTACGACTGAGAAATAACATATAGTTTCCAATAGCAGCACCCGAAAGAATACTGAGGTAACAGCTACAAGGTTTGCTTCCATAAGCTAAAGCAGGTGAAGATAGGAATGGTTGAGGCAAGGAATTGAGATTCCATCGCCTTTTCTAATTACTTGAAGAGAATTTCAATCCTCAACTACTTATATTTCTGTACGTTAATATGGTTATATGAAGTTTAAATATAGCTTTTTATACAATAGCTAAGTACTGCATTAAGGAACAAATGGACTTCAATAAAGTAAGAATCTTTTATTACATACCACCCAATTCCTATGTATTTAGATATAAAATCTTTTTTTTTTTTTTTGGCGGTGAGGTGGCATTTACATGCATACCACCCAGTTCCTACGTATTTACATATCTAACAACTAAATGTTGCCTTTTCTCTGTTTATTCAACACAAATCAAAATGGTGGTATGACTGCTTTTAAACAACATTCTCAAACAAAGCCTAATTATAATAAATCTTGAAATATGCATGAAGAAGAAAAGAAAGAAACATGAGATAAAAACACATAACTAATTCAAATCTATGGGTACACGTTGCTTGTTTCAGCCAAAACTAGAGAAGCACTGCATCTTTTAATTGAAATATTTTAGGACCATAGGCAAAAAGTATACCTCGAACTCTTATATCCATAACAAATGGAATAGAAAAAACCTTAAATAACAACCAGTATGCACAATAAAATAGCATACGTCTCTGATCAAAATTGAAAATTACAAGTTAAACAAGAAGGATTTGATATAGGAAGAAGGCCGAGATTTTCATTTCATGTACAGGATATATCCATGTTAATAAAATATGATTCATGCAAAAAATGAAAAACATTTTATTTCATTGCCTGATATGGAAGGATAATAACAATAAAAATACAATATAAGAGACTTGAAATATAATGCACAAGCACACAATTACTAGTAATAAGCAGATATCAATATAAACCTGGAAAAACTTAACTTAATAGTCATCAACACTAGCATTAATATGATATGCATGGTTATGCCAAACATTGCTAAGAGTAATCTTTGCATATATGATCTCTAATCAAAGGAAAATGAAGTACAAATCAAGCATAAAAATAATAAGCTAGATTTCTAAAAGTACTATGAAGAAACTTGGTGAATTCATCATTGTGTACATGTGCATGATAAACCAAGTGAAATCGGTTACCTAAGCAATACAGAATAAAAATGGCCACATGCCATTAAGGGCCCGTTTGGGGCAGCTTATAAGTGCGGCGGGGTTTTGAAAACGCCGCCTACGTGTTTGTTTAGCACGTTTCTACAGATTATTTAAAAACTGCGTTTAATTTTTTCTATTACACGCAGATCGCGGGGTTATACCCGCGATCCGCGTTTTCGTCCCTTGTTTTACGCCTCTGCCCCTCTCTCGCTTCCGACGCCGAAAGTCAGGCTCCCCATCCTACACATCCTCCGTCCCTCTCTTCTGGGCCTCCTCCTCCTTCCGTTCGGTCTTACCCGCGCCATCTTGCTCTCCAGGCTTCAGCTGAGCTCTCTCTTTCTCTCCTTCCTCCACTCTGTTTTAGTGAAAAGATCTTAATTTGGAGCTAGCCTAGGTATATGTTGATCTGAACGGTGCCTTATCGCAACTGAAGTGGGGAATTTCTGCTCTGTTTCGTTCCCATTTTCTACCAACGTGCAGCAAAGGGGCGGCGGGGGAAGAGGATGAAGTTTTGTAAGAGATTTGAGGAGTACATGAAGATTAGGAGGAATAAGGATTTTCTAGTATTGGGACTGAAAAAGCTCAAGAAGATCCTTAAGAACTGCAGCAGGGAAGCCGAATCTCAGCCACGTCTCATTGAGGATGAGGGAGAACAAGATAACCCTAATTAGTGTTGTGTGCCCAATTTTTCTGACCATTGCTAAGGTTTGTGGATTACTATTTGAGTTCATTGCAAATTTAAATAAGACTTGAATTTTTTTTTTTTTTTTGGTTTTTGTTTTTTTGTGGTCTTCATGCTGCTGGTACAGCTTTTTTGGGAAAAATTTTTGTTGGAGCTGTATACGTTGATGAGCTGACCATTTTGCTTAGCAAGAGGTAAAATATTATGTGTGCTCTTTCCCTAATTTTAAGTTTGTTGAATGCTGAAAATGATTAGCAGCTTTAAAAATTAAATTTCTTTGCAAAAAAATCCTTCCCATTATGCTAGTGTTATAATTGCTGCCATTTTGTTCTTTCCCTTGTGCTAAAATTAATAAGTGACATTATTTAAATTACATATACACCACAAAGTTCTCATATATTTGCTTAAAACTTATCATTCATATTTATATATATACCACTCCAATTTTTAACATCACATCCAAAATAAATACTTCGTTCGTTATATTTTTAAAAATGAAATGCATCTTTGCATTCATGTGTTTATGGCAACAAGCTGTTATAAGTGTAAATATCAAACTTTGAATGTTGATATGTAAATACATAAAGAATTATGCGGTATGTTTCTAAATTTCTCAACTAACAATTGATTCGGCTGTAGTGCCCCTTGTCCTCTGCCATTTAACAACAAATTTTCTTCATCAGTTTATCCTAAGATTCTTCCTGGAAATAGATTTATTTTTATTTTTATTTTGGTTTTAATAGCTGTCCTGAGTACTGGAGCAGAGATTGAAGAGCGAGAGAATAGAGAGGCTTCAGCAAACTAAGGAACTCTTTTGTATTTTCATATATTAACATTTGAACTTTAATTTTATTGAGAAAATTATAAATTCTGCGTGATAGATTGTTCATTCAACTAAAAAAATTGCAAATAAGCTGTTTACAAAACGCACTAACCAAACAGCTAAACAACTTATTCAGAACAAGGGCGATGGTCAATTTTCCAGAATCAGCTGTTTTCCAGACGCACTAACCAAACAACCAGACAGCTTATCCGGATCAGCTGGTCATCAGCAGATTATCAGGATAAACTGCTTATCAGCAGAAGCTGGATAAGCTGCAGCTGCCCCAAACAGACCTAAATTGCAAGTCGAAGTGAAGGATTATGTGGTAGAAAAATTAGTTCTACTAAAATTTACCTCATTCATCCTTTGGCATTAATTTACGGATAAATCAATAGCTCCATAAAACAAAATAAAAATAAAAACAAAAATCCAAAAAAAAAAACTTCAACATTGTCCTAATTACAAGAGACACTTTAAGAGCTCATTTGCTTGAAGTTATGCACAAGTGGCGATGGAAGTAGGTAATCAAAAGCCTGGATTTGTCATAGTTCCATCAAAAAGCATATCTAACCAATTTCCAGCTCATGGAAGCAGTAATTAACCTCAATGGCACCGGCTATCCAAGCTGTCTCATGACCATTGCATGAGAAGAGGGCAAATCTCTGAACGACAATGCAATTTGACTTTATTTTTCCACTATTTAACTCTATACAAATGTAGAAAGGCAAAGTTTAAGTGCCAGACATGGAAATACATGAGAATCAGGTGGTACTTATATAAATGGATATTTAACTTGGAGTTTTAATGTAGACTAAAAGTTTTACTTCTGCATCGACCATCATAATTAACATTCCCAGTTTCAATTAATTGAAGATTTGGGTGGCATAAAATATAAAAAGCAAATTTGCTAAGCACATAGAAATTGAACAGTGCGCATGTGAGTGCTAAGCACAGAAACTGCACTTATTTTGCCTGCATTCATCACATGGAAAACCATATCATCCACCTGACACAGACAAACATCTAATTTCAACATTCACGCAATTAGAGATCTCACACTTAAAATAAGCCTCAACAAAACTTGATGAATGTATGCGAGATCCGGCGAAGGAAGTGTCTGCCGCGGAGAGGAGGAAATACTCGGGAATTACCAGAAATTCTAGGCTCGGCGAGTGTTTCAACGACGGCCGCTTCAACGCCGGTTCTTCGATCGGTGGCTGCTCACAGTGACCTCGCCCATGGAACAGAGGAATTAGGGCCAGGGGGGGCTTTGGGCCAGGGGGGGCTTCCGAAATTTTTTTTTTTTTTTTTTTTTAATTTAATGGAATCACCAGTGGGGATTCATGAGGCATGCTGAGCCACCACATAATAAGGCGATTTAGCCTATTCGTTTTTTTTTTTTTTTTAATTATCAATTTAAACAATTTTAAACAAATGCTATTTTATAATTTTTACCCGTTTATATATGGGTTATTTGTTTTGACCTAAAATAGTATTGAATAAAATAAATACAGAAATTTTCAATTTTTATTATCTGATAAGTAATAGTCTTATTGTAAAATAAAATGCTACATAATTAAAATTATGAAAATAGTTAAAAAACCCACATTAAAAACTCAATTGAAATGGGGCGTAAAACCAATTTATCATGCTACTTCTTATCTTCGACTCTCTCATGCACGATTTCATTTAAAAGAAACATGCTCCTTTCATTCGTTGCTTCATGCGCTCTTGATTCATTTCTTTCGGTCGTTGCTGTCTCTTGCAGTCCCTCTCCTATCTTTTGTTCGTTGCAAATTATTCGTTCGTTCCTTTCATTCGTTGTCCCGAGCGCTCCTGATCCCTCTCTTTCATTTGTGTGGTGTCTCTTCTACATTTGTTGCTACCACGCCCAGTCACGCTCAGTTCTTCACTTTGCTTCATCAGTTGCTACCTTGCAATCATTCATCTGATTCTCCATTTATTTATTGTTGCCTCACGATCTTATGTCTATTTTCAGCCTTGCCACACACTTTCACTCATTCACTATCTCTTGGTATTCCTCTGTTCGATAGCTTTGTTCGATATCACCCTGCTAATCTTTCTTTTGCATCACTTCTCACTTCACTAACTCCTAATTTTTCCACCAAAATGTCATTGGGTGTGGGTAATTCCTTTGTCAACTCTTATATTCTTTGGTGGAAAGAAACCTTGATATCAATGACCAATAGATATTATGAAGATTTACATGC